CGGTGCCGCCACCTCTGCCGGCGCCCCTGGGCGCCCCCCGCTACCGTAACCACAGTGGTAAAGGGTGTGAAGGGCCCTCTTCAATGAATGAACCCGAGAGTCTCGAGTCGAAATGAACGAATGAACGTAAATTTCTCTTTTTCTTCTCTGCTCGCTTCTTTATACTGTGTCATGATGCTATGGACCTGTATACATGACTCAAGTTTGTCCTGTTTCTTGCACTGAAATAAAAAGCTGTATTCACCTGGGCCTTCTGAAAATTACCTGTGCATGAGTTCATGCTGGTTTTGCAGAGAACTATGCATTTCTATCGTTTAATCTCAACATTGAATGGGGACTGGGAATCTTAATGTGATATGTTCAAGACGTTTATAAAATACCCTCATTCTTTTGTTGGTGCTAACTTTGCCAGTCCCATGTTTATAAAAAAAAAAAAAAAAAGAGAGAGAAAAAAAGACCCATGACACATCCTTTGTTGTGAGATTAAAGATTTAATCCATTTGAAGTTGCTTTGATTAAGAGTAAATCCATCTGAAATTTCTTTGACAGTAAACACACTTAAATACTTTGGCTCGATGATATAAATATTTATTTGTACATATATTAAAAAGTGTGTATGCAACTGGCAAGCTAGCTTATACTGGAAAGATCTCTCGGCATTGGATTGCTAGAAAGTATTTGAAACTTGTTTAATTTACGTCTGAAATGTTACTGAGCTTGTGTTGCTTTATTATGAAACTGATAGTTTGGAAGGTTGTTTTTGGTTTTTTTCTGAATTTTAGGTCACAATGGATATTACAAGGGGGAGCTTGGATAAAATTTCAAGGCCTGCATCTAGCTCAAGGGCTTATCCTAATTGTAGATCTTTAAGTACATCTATGGAATTATTAACACCAGAGTCACATTTGCCAAAGGTAATTCTTTTCACCTTCAGCTTGTTAGAAACTCTATGCCTAATTCTTCTTAGTAGAATACCAAAGAAATAGGATTCTGCTTTTTCAGCTTCATATAGAGTTTTGGGCTCTGCAGGTGTGCAAAGCAGTTATGTGAAAGTTCATGAATGTAGGCTGCTCCTTATCCATACATGGAATGATGTTTAATTTAATTTTTCTGAATATATGTTACTTTTATATTTGCCACAGAAAGGGCTATTCAGCATTACAACCCACAAAACTTGGTTGTCTTCCTCATTATATTTAATCAGATCATAAAATAAATTTATTTTAAGCAAATACATTTGAAATTCTGGCAGTAATGTGTCAATACACAGCTATAGGTTGTTGATGCATGAGCCAGTATGTGTGTAATTTCACTTCCATCCCATTTGTGCTTTTAAATTTAAGTTGTAATAAAAATTATTTTGCTTATTAAAAGAAAGCATTTGAGCAACCCTCACAAGTTGAATTTTTGACTATAAGGCTCTCTCAGGATGTGTTTGAATCGAGTTTAAAAAAAAAAAATCATAGTATTCCAAAAAATATGTCAGCTCCAGGGATTCAGCAAAGTCCATCAGAAGTAGATGTTCATCCATCCTCTGAGAAAATCGATATCAGGGATTAACTTAGTTTTGGGAATGGGATATGTGATATGGTTGTTGGGATGTAGGAACTGGAACTTGGGGATTAGAAATTTAAATTGATTTACTTAAATGAGGCCAATTGTATTGTACCTCTGTTCACCTGACTATAGAATGGGATCATACATTGATGCTTCGCAGAAGTATTAAAATATTTTTTATAGGTTAACATCAGATAACGCTAAATCCAAGTTCTGACCTAAACATCGTGGGCTATTGCATGAAAATTGCAATCTCTTGAAGCTGATGAATTAAGTGTAAAAAAACCTCTGGGATACTACCTGGTGCAGAGCACCTACAATGTCAGGAAGTGGATGAGGCTGTTTTACACACAGACTCAGCTGGTTGGCTGCACCTCTGCTACAGCAGAAATGGCATAAACCTTTGGAATCATTTCCTAGCCTGGCAATGCCAAATCTGGTAGTCTGTGGAATGATGAGTTTGAGAATCAATGTGATAGCTAAGAAACAGAACTCTGTATCAGATCTGAAAATGGTCCTTCTATTTAAGAAGTACTCTGCAGTCTTGTATAGAATCATTGTTAGCCTTTGTGATAGTACGTGATTATTATGATTACCTTCCACCGCCTCCCCCCCAATTTCTCTTTTTATGGTAGTAATTAATTTGCATTGTATAGGTTGATTCACCTGTCAGCTTGGCTGTTAGTCATCAAAGAGGCAGTCTACGAGACTGCTGTCCAGAAGAAAACAAAGGTGATGACAGAGAGAAATCTGATGTCAAGGAAGTAAGAACAGATCAGCAAACCACAGTGGAGAGTAAGACCTTCCTTCTTCAGAAGCGTGTACTGAATCCCAACGAGTTGCCAGGTGTGGGAATGACTAAGACTGTCTTATGCTGTGGCTAGACGAAGTATCATGTTTGTATAGTTTGGGTAAAATTCTGTTGGTGGAGGGAAAAGAGGATGCAAACAGGTAAAACCCTAGAAGACGAGGAGGTGCCAAAATTCATACCTTCACTTCTCTTCACTACTTTGAATCCATCTTTGAAGGAAATACAGTGGCAATAACAGTGGTAACACAGGGTATATCCCATGGCATCTAAACTGTGACCTGCACCTTGGTGATGGCTTGAAAGATTGGGAGAAACCTTCTGCATGTGTCCCATGGAAACGTATTAGAAAGTGTTTTCAGTAAGGTGTTTTTATCACACTTTTCAGAGAGGTCATGATCATTTGTTAGAATCTTTGTATCCTAATAATGGTTCACCAGTCCAAAAAGTTGGAAATTATGGTTGTAAGTTATAATATTAAACAGCTGAACAATGCTAATGCTAATAACGTACTTCAAATATAAATATGCAGTGTCTCATTTTAATAAAAGCACTTGTAGAAGTGCTTCAGATAACATTGTTTTGGCATTCTATAAATGGTAATAAATTAACTTTCTAAAGCTTCTGACTATTTAAAAATAGAGAATTGAAGGCCAATATGTGAAGCAGGAAGTTCAGATACCTTCTTCAAGTTTAGATAGATTTCATGACAGAATTGAGGTCAAAAGAAATCCCTTGATTCCTGCTCCTGTCTTTAACATGAGTCCTACCATCTTTTAAACACTAATCCACTGCAGAGGCTCTGTGATGATCCCTAATGTATTTTGGTCTCTTAATTGTTAACATTTCAAACAGTATCTTTAAAAGTTTATTTCACATCTATTTTATTGTGAAAGACTTTTTCCTGTGTTTTTCAGGATGTATCTCTAATTCAGATTCTGGAGATGATAGCACTGAAACACAGACTTTGAAATTCTGTGAACCTTTCCAAGGAGAACTAAGTAATACAAAAGCAGGTATTACTTTTCAGGTGTATAAAGTGAACAGTGCAATAAAACTTTTTTTCCTTTTTAGTGCTTCTAGGAGCATTTGGGATCATAGTGTATTTGAGCATGTATTATATAGTTATAAAGAAATATTACAAATTGAAAATGCATATGCATTGTGATATTCAAGAGATGTTGAATGAGTTTTTTTATTTAAAGATTATTATTACAGGATATTAACTTTCTTTAATGATATGGTAGTAAATGAGTTTCACATAATTTTGGTCACTTTAATAAGACAGAATCCAGTGGTGATTGTATCCAGTGCAGCAGTGCTGGTCACCTAGCATAATATTCATTTCTTCAGAACAGAAATTGGATAGAACTCAACTTTAAAGCTTCATTCAGTAGTTATAGGTCCAAATCCGTCTGCCGGTTCAGGCCAGTTGAAATAAGTCCTCTTTTTTTTTTTTTTTATCTTCTGTCCTTGGGGCTTCCCTGGAGCTCATTTAGATTCTTTTAGCTCTCCACTTGTTGAATCATTCATCTCTTTCTATGGCACAAAGTAGACTAATGCATCACAGTAAATGCTTGGGATCAGTGGATGTGACCTCAGAAGATGAGAAAATTAAAAAATTATAAATTTGAGTTCAATCACTTGTCGAGTTTGATTCAGTGCTCTGTTACAAAGACTTTTATATTTTTCCCTACTACAAACAGGTTTAGAAATGAACATCATATATGTGCTTGCAAATAACTGTACTCTTGTCTATGGTTGTTATCAATTTCCTTGTGCTGCTTTTTAGGGTGTTCTTTAAGTTGAAATGCTTCAAGCTAACAATTTTAAATCTATTCTACAGCAAACTCTTCCAACTTGGAAGATTCTGAAGAAACAGATGTAGATCCTCAGATTCAAGCAGCTATAAAGAAAATGAATAAACTTGACACAATACTGGCAAAAAAACATTTTAAGGAGAGAGCAGTTAAAAAGCAAGGCAAAGAAATGAGGGCAAAGCTCTGGGAAGAGCTTCAGGTTAGAAGTATTCTGCTTGTTTCATAAACAGTATATCTTAGAGTACCGTCTTCCAGAATTATCATATTTTAGACTCATTGTTTTATTAAATAACTCACAGATGGCTGATTAAAGTGACGAAATTGATCTTAAAAAGTAACTGTGAACAGGTTTTAATATATATTGGCTAGGCAGGCTGTGAAAAAAGGCCATGGTCCTTAAAAATTGGTACGACCAGTAGCCAAATATACAGCTGTCTAGGTGTGGTTTACTAGCACAGTCTTATGCTTAAGCTTGCTACTTGCAGGTATGGCAAGGTATGGCAAGAGGTAATGTCTGTGAACCCAGACCTAAAAGTGTTTATTCTGCTATAGTGTGACCATTCTTAGGCCCATCTATTTCAGTACTGTCTATTATTGAAGAAATTAGAGATGCCCCTGAATGAGCATGAGAATGCTGCAGCACAAATTCCTTCAAGTTATTGTTATCCTGGTCTCTAGCAGTTAAATGTCACTTTAAGCCTTGAAACATGAGATTTAGTATTTCCTCTGAGGTTAAGTATTGTATAATTTACATGAATGCAAATGTAAATTGTGAAAAAGGCATGACTGAAGTTGGCTTGACTGCATCTCATACTCTCAATTTGGATTGCCATATATACAATACAGAATTTCTTTGCCTTGTGACATGTGTCTCCGTGTAAGAGACCATATATAGTGGAGGCTTTAAAGCTCTACCAGGCCTTTATCATAACTTTAGATGTTCAGATAGCCTCAAGAAGAAAACAAAGTAGTAAATAAATGTTGCCAGTGAACAAGTGATTTTTAATAGGGTCTGAAGTTTGTTAGACCCCAAAAGAAGACAATGTATTTTGCTTTAAAGTATTTACTTTAAAGTAAATATATGCATGCATCTGTATATTTATGCTTTATGTCTTTTGAATAGTCTATCGGTACCACTGGAAGCCATGAGGAGGTAGAAAACACAAAACTTTTTTTAGCTTTGATTTCATCATGGCAAGATACAGCTGGTAAGTAAGAAAGAGAAGTAAATACCCTGATATCCTGTATTTTGATTAATATTCCTATTTTTGTTGGATACTATAAAAAGAAGGCTTTCAAGCCTTTACAATAAAATAATATTTTCATGTAAAAGCACATCAAGGGAATATTTGAAATATTAACTGAAATAATTTTTACATTATCACAAATGTAGAAGTTGTACTTTAACATTAATTTTGTTTATAGAAATTATATTTTTTCAGAGAACTGGCTCCTCTAGAAGGGTAGAAATCCAGGATAAGTAAAGCTTGCATTTTCCAAGTTGAAGGCAAACACAGACAATCTCGGAAAGGATGCATGACTGATAACACTGGTAAATTAAAGTAATGATAGCAGGTATAAGGAAAATGAAGAGTGGAAACCCTCTGAAAAACTTGGATCTCTTTATGATTTTGGAATATCTGGGCAATAAGCAACGAATTCAAAATTGCTTCGGTAAACAAACAAAATGATGAAGTTACTGATGTGTGGTTACTGGTGGTCTCAGTGAGAGAGTTTGCCAGGCTGGAGTACTTGGTGTAGGACGGGCAGGCAGTTAAAAAACATTAAAGTGTTACTTAGAAGCCCTAGGGATGTGGGCCCTGCCACACATGTATCTTAGAGAAAATTTTCATACAGGAGTGAGAAGGAAGCAATGGCAATGCCATGGTAAAGATCTCTTAATATGACAGATACAGAGGGAGGGAAATCCTAAGCCTTTTTAGGAATTGCTAACAGAAGAACCAAAAGAATGGGACCAAATTATGGTACTAACTACAGAGTTATACGTTGGAAGACAATACAGGAAGATGCATTCACAGCCAATGTCTTGGAACATGGTCCAGAAGGGAGTTTGGGTCATTTACATTAAATTTGATACTGATTATGTTACATTTAATTCACTTCTAAAAGAATTTAATATTCTGAACATGAGAGAGAATTTGAGTAAAAGGGATCATTACATAACCTAAAGTGTGATTCTAAGGAGTGGTGTGAATGTGAAACATGAATTTAGGTTTTTTAATTGGCTTTTTTTCTGAGAATTCTAGAGAATAAAATTTAGGATAGATGGCAGTTTTAAAAAGCAAGACTATGTTAAATACATGCCAGCAGACTATTCTCAGGAAGAAAAGACCAGGAAGTCTGATAAGATAATTTCTGAGTTTCATCATGATACAACAATGAAGACAAAAATATTCAAAGTAGAAATGAATGCACTGATAAGAATAAATGTTTGCATTTTAGTCTTTTAGTAAAATTCACTTCTATCTTAAGTAGCATTTAAAACACCAAATTCTATAGCTGCATTAAAAATAGACAAATGACTTAGGAAGGATTGTGTTCTTTAACAGGAAAGGTAAACAAATAGTTAATGATACAGAGAAATGTGGAATGTGATACATAACAAAAAAAAGACTGTGATCAAAATTACAAAAAACTACTTAGAAATGTTTTCCCTACTGAGTCAAGAGGACACAATTCTGTTGGGGTTTCTAAAGCAAGTGGTTGAAGCACATTCTGAAGTATTGGTCGTTTTCTTCAAGAATGCAGAGAGGATGTGTATGCTCACCAGGACCTGGAAAAAGAAAATACTGGGTATTTTAAAATGTCTTCCTTTTTCTTTCTGTGGCTAGACTTTTATTGGGGGAGACACTGTAACAAACTGTAGGCATTCTGCTCACAAATGTCTTTATTGTGAGGGGCAAGGGAAACAAAACCAGACTAAATTTGTCAAATTCAGTCAAATTACCACGTCAAAATGGCTCAAGAGTGATTTAAAAAAAAAATGTGCTGTTTGAATACTCTGTTTTGGTGCTGGAGTTCTCAGAGATGTGTCAATCATATGCACATTTTGCATCCTTTCCTTCATCTGTATACCTTGGTTGAAAGTGATTCTTGGTTGAAGGGAAACAGAATTGTGATGCATCCTGTCTTTTCTCTTGTTGGGGGGAGAACAAGGATTTCAGGTCTGCATGGTTATTGCTGGGCAAAAATCTGAGCTTGAATGTTACAAGTACGTGCATAATAATGGTAGCAATGTGTGGTTAAAACATTTCAGCAAAACTTACTATTACAAGGTAACCTGCTTTTATTTCTGTGGTAACCTGCTTTTATTTCTGTGCTAAAGTTTGGGTTATTAAGGGAAGAACATAGGATTTGGTATGGGTGATATTTAAAAGTCTCCAGTAGATGTCAGGATGTAGTAAAAAAACCAGTAGGCAAGCCAGACTATGTGATTGTTAATGAAGTCCGTGCTTTAATTCCTCTTTTATTTCAAAGGTAGCTCCTTGCTGTAGAGATCATGTGCATCATATGGGTGCTGGTGTAGTGTAGTACTGGCAAAACTGCATAGTTTAGATTTATATTTTTCCTCCAGCTTGATCTTGGTTTTGAATTTTCTCTGACATGCTAGTGACTTACTTTTCAGGTCTTCTTTACTTATTTGAGTGCCCTGATAGCTGCCCTGGTTGATGCTGAAATGGAGTGCAATTCATATATTTTGCTTTCCAGAGCTTGAATTTGATAAAGAGCTTTATTTAAAAAAAATTGTATAGGGAACTATTTAATTATAGCTTTTAATGTGACTGTGAAATCAAACACAAGTTCTGGGTACAAAATCATTAATAACGTGTGTGTCCCAGCCTATCAGGCACAAAAAATCCTCTGATATGCTCACGGCAGAAATGTAAATGAGGATTTAATTAAACAGCCTTGAATTCATTCCCCTGTACTCTGTGTAGTACAATTTTACTTTGAGTTGAGTCCATTAAACTTCGTTGCTACAGGATGTTGGTTACTTTTTTTTCATTGTGAAAAATACATTTTTCATGTGTGCTACATGTAGTTCTTTGCAATGAGTCCTGTTCTGTAAGTGCTAAGAGTATAGGCTGCAAGTTAATGATCTAACTTATACTTCCAGTTGATACATGTCAGTACCATGGCTGATCTTTTTTTAAGTAACTGAAACAACTCCTGCATGCTAGGGTGTTTTAACACTTTTTTCTAGACTATACCCTTAATCTAAGCCACTTGGAAGTCTAATAATTTGTGCACAAGCAGACACCAACTGTGAAAATCTGGATACTCATTTAAACTTCTAGATGACTTGCCACATGGTGTCTGCAGAGGCTTTTGAACATTAGGGCCTTGGGCTGTATCCTCTAGAATGTAATTATTTCTCTTGTATGGCCAGTAGTTAAAAACACAGCCATATGAAACAGCATGATTATTCATGAGAGACACCTTAGACTTTTCCCCCTTCTTTATTTCTTGAGAAATATGGTGGTGATGTAATTTATCCAAGTAAATTTCTTTAACTTTCATGTGTGAGATCTTACAGTGTGATACACATTAAACTAGATCATCTTTAAATAGATTTCAGTTAAATTTTACTGAAAAATTTCTTTGCAGATCCCTCTCATGCTAAAGAAGATGAAATATGTACTTCAATATTTCACACACAAATTAATCCAGAAGATTATGATTGCCATAAGCCCCAACATAATCAGGGTAAGCTTTATTAATTGTATAGTTTGTATTTCTAGATATGGTAAAGCAACATGTACAATGGGTGAGTAATGAAGACTTGGCCTGTGTGGCTAGGCCAATGGAATCAGAAAAAGCAAGGTTGCTTAGTGGAATGGCAACAGTTACTGTTTTTACAAATGATAAAACAGAATTATTTTGTTTGTGACTTATCTAAAACATTTTACTCAACATTCTATGAAAATTTTTACTTTCAGGTTTCTAAAACTTCTTTCATTGCAAAATGTGTAATTCATTGTAAAATGTATCACTGGTTCTTTGTGGAAATTCTTTACAAACTTGTCTTTGCTGTTATTCTAAGGTACTGTAACTTCATTAGTAGGCTTATATTCAAGAAACCATCTAAAATGAGGAGTGGTGCTGTATACAGTTTCAGCTGTTCTGTACATTTTTTTTATTTGATTTTTGAATTTTTGATCAGGAGAAATTGTATGGATGTTGTGACAAAGCTAAATCTTCAGACAACTAATTTTATATTTTGTTACACCGATTATTGTAAAGGCTGCATTGCTTTTATGGATTAAGTACTTTCTGGCAAAAATCAAATATCTGTGCTGATTCTTTTCAACATCACTTGTTTACGTGCACTGAATAGAGGTATCAAATCCTGGTAGTAGTGTAGTGTGTCTGACACTTCTCTATTTGAAAATTAAATTTGTATGGTTGAGTAACTTCTCACATGTGTTATGACATAAGAAGAATAGCTTCAGCTGCCTTTGCTATCAGCTGCAATTGTTTATTTCTTTGTCATCTACCATTCCCTGTAAACAGTGGAATCTATTTTCCTGGTGACTGCCTAAGATGACAAGAATATAATAAATGGTTGTTCCGCAAGGTTGGACCGCTGATGGCAGCAGAATCTCTGCACTTTTTGGAATGTGACTGCATGTTTTAACTCCTCAAACTTGGACCTCAGCTCCCTTATAATTTTATCACTTGTCTTAGTCCACCAGTATGTGACCTTAACTTTCTGTTGCTATATGTTTCTTCACACTGGCTTGGAACAGTGCTGTGCTTTTGATTTCTCTGCCTTCCTACCACATGTCTTCATTCCTCCCTTAAAATGAAGCTTGACTCTCATGCTTCCACCTTCACACTTTCTCAGTTGTACTGGAGTGTCCTTGAATAGCAATGGCAGTTTTTATTACCAGTATTCAGGACAGAATAACTTCTAAAGCTCCCAGTACAGGCATGGTTGGGAGTTGCTGTTGCTTGCACTATTTTGAGATGTTCTACATTCTTTTACTTTGGGAACACATGAAATAGCAATCACTTACAACTTACAAACAATAAATTACTTAACTGACTATTTCTATTATTATTATTACTATTTCTGCTGGAGGCTTTTGATATGATTTCTGAATAGCTAAGACTTACTGTTTTGATTGCTTTTGGATTTCTGTGTAACAGCTGTCATAAAGGCAGACCCTGAACAAGAGGAGCTTAAGTTGTGAAGAAGAATGTATCTATTAGTTTTATGATACTACTTTAGCAGTCTGATGAAGATTTGTACCAGATCTTTGAAATTTGTACCAAATCTACCAAAACTTGTGTGCAAAATTTGTTGAGCTGCAGTCTCTCTTTTACTTACCCATGGAGATCTTCAGTGTATTCCTTGTCCTAGTGATCTGCGTCTGTCCTTTCTTTACTTGAATGTTCTGAGATGTTCTGTATGATGGCTCCTTCTCAAAAATGCTCATTCTACAACTAGAGAAAGATGTAGCTTTAAAGTAATATTTCATATATGTTGCATATTATGTTGGTGTTTGGTGTGTTTTGTTCATTTCAGGATGCAACTTGTCATGTTTATATTGATTGGTAAATATTACGTGATCCAGTTCCTTGATAGATTCAAGATGTTACCTGGTTATGTTCAAGATAGATAGTTTGGGATACTTTCAGTAAACAGTTGTGCATTTGAACTATGACAGGGTTTTCTTGGTCAGATCCAACACCTCAGTCAGGTTTACTTGCAATTTGAGAGTAAGTCTGATTGATTGGTGAGAATGTTGCACATGTTTTTGTCCATAGTGTGTAAAAGGATGCATGGAATTTATTTTGTATCTTTGGGAGTTTGCTTTCAGTCTACTCACTCTGAAAAAGCATTACTTCCACGTAAACTTCCACAGCCTACCTTCTGTTATCTAACATGTTAAATTTAGGTTTTTTGTAGGCAAATAGCCTACCCATTTTTCAAATCTCTACTTTCCAGAAAAGCCAAAAGTACCATACCTACTTTTGAAATAGTTTTTGAGACTTAGAAGTTTGTTATATTTGCTTAGACTTGTTATTTAATGTGATAAATATTTGCTGTTTGTTAAGGAATTGCTGCTTTAAAACTGTTAGAAGTCTCTGAAAAACAGAGTATGTGCCCATTTTTCTATGACAGATAGAAACCCATTGTTGAAAAAAAGTCCATGTGATGTTGTCAGAATATCATGTGGCTGTTTTTTAATAGCTTTAGAGCTCTATGATGAGTTTTATTTTTAAATTTTGTTTTATAAGCTGTGTTATAATAATATCAACTATATCATCTGTGCTTCAGCTGTTTTATTTTTTAAAAAAATGTACTTGATATGTCTCCAAATAATTCTGTGGTTTTTAAAAAAATTATTGTCTGGTTTTGTACTGATGATAAAACTGAAACAATGATAGGGTTCGAAGGAATGCTGTGGCTTTTAGAGCTTCCATGTTTAACATTTTTGAGGTCAGAAATCCAGAAGTATTTTAGCCTTCCAACTACACTGAATCTCATGATCTCATATATTAAATGCTTAAAAATGAGATTAGATTTTGACAATAGTTAAGTTTTAAATACAGCAATATGGTTTATATAAATAATGAAAACAAATGTTTGTCTATCCACTTTATATGTTTTTTAAAGATTTAAATGGGATTGCTGTTATTACAGCTCTCATTGAATCAGAAAAGGAATGATCATAACTTAGCAACTTTTCTTCCTCAAACTTCAGATTATCCAAGTGAAATAGAAACAAATGAGTTTCTTAATCAAGCGGAAAAAATGCATAGCAAAAGTAAGGCCAATCAGGATTTCATTAAAAAGAACATTGAGGTAAGCATTAAAGCATAAAATCATTAATATTTTGTTATATGTTAAGTAAAAAATAGTATGTAAGCATTTCTGGAGACAGTTGGGTTTATCAGGAACATTGAAAGCTAATTAGGCAAGATGAATGAAAAAAGTCCTGCAGTTAAAAATTCTTGTTTATGGCAGAGTACTGTATAAGATAGTTCTCATCTTGGATGCTCATATTGGTGGGGATAATGCTGCTTTGTATTTGCTAAAGAGTACTGGAAATGAAATTGTTCTGTTTGTGCCTGGACACAGCTTGTTTTGAGGGCAAATATTTCCTAAGACTTTCTTTAAATGTGTTTTACTGTTAAGTTAAAGGAAGATGCTCTTACACAAAGATAAGGAATAGGTATGCAGGTTATTCATGTGTAGCCTGCATGGGATACAGAAGACTTCTTTCCCTCAGAAAATAGATTTTTCATGCTTTTTTTTTTTTCTGTGAAGACCGAGTAGCTATAATGATTTTTCATCCAATGAAAAATATCTGCTCCCCTCCCCCTGCCCCCATCATGTCAAAGACTGTTATAACATTATCAATTATGATTAGAGTTGATCTTAAAGGTCTTTTCCAACCAAAGGATTCTATGTAGGCTGCTAGATTTTTCTGTCAGAGTAATAATTTGTATTATGGCAATAAGGAAGATTTGGATGTTAATTTCAGAGTTAAAAAACTTTTGTTTGGTGCTGTTTGAGCTAGTGGAGTTCTAAAGTTTATTTATTTTTTTTCTTTTTGTAAATATTTCAGCTGGCAAAGGATTCAGGAAACCAGACTGTTATGCTTGAGGGAGAAAGGAAAAGGTTAATTGAACTGTTGAAAGATACAGAAGATGGAATTGAATTGCAAGGTCTTGAGGTATGGCAACTTTAATTTGTACTGTCCTGTTGTATTTGGCTTATTTGTACAGTAAATCTAAATTTGATTTGGTTTTAGTCTTACCTGAAGTAACCTACTGAGATATGAGAAAAAAGCTGGACCTATCCAATTGGCTTTGCCTCTGAGAATGAATTTTCATTGGCTTCTTTGTTCATTTTACTAACACTTGGACATGCCTGGCCTCAGAAAAACAGCAGAACTTAAAAGAAAAATTAGACAGGGGTGGAAGGAGACTTAGAAGCAGACTCAGAGAAGAAGATGACCTATTTTTTCTGCATAAAATGTAAAGTGGCTGCCTATCGATCTGAGAGGCTAGTGCTGTAGTCTCTGGTAGAAGGGCCAGCAATTACTTCAAAAAAACTCTTGAGAGTTATTTAGGACATAAACTTCAGAATATAGCAATTAGTGAAATATGCATTGATGAGGCCTATGTGTCCATTTAGAAAGATAACATGACATCTTTGTGTGGTTTCCAACTCACTCTGAGAAGTATACAGCCAAAGTCTGCTTAAGGATGCTGCAGTGGATAGCAAGAGCTGAGTTAAGCAGAAATACCTTTCCTCATGGAGAGTAAAAAAGAGTGTTTGATTGTCCCATCAGTCACTGCTTCTAGGAGAGTCTGTGCCACAAAGTGATTCCTAGTTACGTGAAGATACCAAGTAGTCTTTTGATCTCCCAGTTACTAGGAGATGGCCTTTATTTCTTACTGCTTTGAGGAGAATATCTCAGTGAAGGAGTTCTTGGGGGCTCTTGTTGAGCTGGAGCAAATTATTTTTCAGTAGGTTAAATAAAAACTTATGTGTGAGAGAAAGAAACAAAAGCAAATGCAATGTATTTTTTTTTCTTTTATTCTCTCTTCCCATATTTTCTAATAAGGAGGTGAAGACATCCAAGAGGTGATGCTCTCCATTACTCTTTGTAAAATGTGTCTAAAATCTGTCTTTATAAATGACTGTTTCAGGATATGGGGTAAGGAGGTGAGCTCAGGATTTTCTTCATCTGAATCCAAACTGGTTATGGATACAGGGAACTAGCTTACCCATGGTTTGTGACATTAAACAAATCTGTAATTTACCCAACTTCAGTGTGATTTCTAGGTTGAAACTCTTTTGGTCCGTGGTCCAAAACTTTTCTCTTTAGGGAAACTAGTAAGTATACACTATATTTTGTCATTTTCAGAGTTCTGTGGGAAAAATATAAGTGAAGGAGTCCATATCAGTCAGGTAAACCTGGTGGACAAATGACTAAGATTATATAAATGTGCAGTATTTTAACAGTAGCTGTTTTTTCACAGTTAGTAAGCTAAAGTAGAAGCACAGAAAACATAACCTGTGCTGTTCATTGGTATGCAAAGGTTTAAAACTATCAGCCACATGCAGTTCATGAGACAAAAAACGTAACTTCGGTAAAATTGCAGCAATCTGTTGACCTGGTATTTGTTCCCTTGGTTTACATAGAAAGCATTTCTAATTTTTTTTGGAAATAAACAGCGAGCTTGCAGATTGACTTCTTTATGCATGTAAAATACTCATCAGTTAATGATGTTGCACAGAGGTGTTTGACTTAGCTGACAGTTTAGCATTAAAAAAATGCAGTGGAAGACTCTTTGGTCTAAAGTTTGTCTACTGGTTAGGAGAATTGAATTTTATTGTACTTTTAATTTGTTTGCCTATTGGAAGAACAAAGTTAAAACTCACTGGATCATTACTTAATTGATCTTTTGTCTGTGCATTTAGGAAAAGATTCAAGGTATTCTATTAGATCTGCTTGCAACAGGTTTGGCATTATAATCCCACATAAGGGTGGCAAAATGTTCAGCTGAAACAGTACTTCATCCAGCCTTTGAATAGGAAGAAACTATAGGGAGAGGGTTGTGAGGTTTTTGTTTGGTTTTGTTTTTCTCTTCTTGTTGGAAAGGTTGGTGTTTGATTAACAATACTGTCTTTTCTGTTCTTTCCTGATCAAGGACGTGTTTCAATACGAGGAGATGGTCCTTCATTTGATAAACCTCAGCATTTAAAGATGTGAAGATATTTTAAATAGCCTTCTGTTAGTAAACTTCGTTTTTCTGGCCTAAAGAATAGTGGCTTTTTTTTAGAATTTATTATTTTACTGATTGTAAAAGTTGTCTCTCACAATACGTAGTTATTCGGTTTTCTTTAAGCTAGTGTCCTTCACAAAATTTAGAGGCCTTTATGCAGAATAGCTAATGCAAATACTGTCTAGCAATGTGTACCCTTTTTTGCATCAATTCCCAAGGCATCAAGGCAATGGAAAAGTATAACATTTTTTCCAAATTTTGTATTTGGCACATGCCACTATCCTGTGGGCATCTATCAATAGAGATTTTACTATGTATATCAGATATTAAATAGATCACTACACAGGATGTGTTGCTGTATGTTCTTGATATAATGGACAAGTATGGGAATGGTAATTTGTGGGTTAGTCTAGTCTGTACTAGATCATCTCTTTAAAGAAAACAACTCCTAAATCTACTGCCAAAGTAGAATAAAAGAATAATACCTAGTTACTTAAACCTATTTAATCTGGAGATGGATTCTTCCTCTCCCACATTTGAATTCTATTATGGGTGAGGCATTTCCTGAGACTGCTTTATAACAAAGATCATGAGGAAATTATCAGCTAATGAGTAATCGAGACTGCTTCAAGCTGGCCCAGGTAACTGTCTAGCTGATGGCCACTTTTATCTTATTTCATTCTGACTTTTAAAAAGCTGGTGCGACCACCTTGGCTAAAGTAATGTTTTGAAGGTTATCAATCAAGGCAGAGCTGGCAGTGCTGTATGAATTCCTCTGTGTAGTGTAATGTGGGTTAGATAACTTCATTTGACTTGTACTACTAAATATGTGAAGTATCTAAACAGCACTTCTCACTTTTTAAAAAAAGTGTTTTATGAGTATTTAAAATATTTTAGAAGCACGTATTCTTGCTAATCTAATTGTCAAAGCTGCAGGGGTATAATTCGTTTCAGATGTTCCACAGTAATAAGTACTGACTGTGCTGTTATAAAAGTATTGTTTGGAGTTAACACACAGGAAACATTGACAGGACAGAAGCTTATTTTCCAAGCAAAGCCATCTTGAAAATGCAAAAGAGTATGTGTGAGTCCCTTTAACCCTGGAGTAAAGCGATGACTGGAGTTATTTGGAGTAAAGCGACGACTGGAACAATTTAGATACTTAAGAGTATGGAATATAAGAGCGTGGAATACAGAGACTGTGCTGTAGCTAGTGACCCCAGTTGCAGTTTAACTGAGTCCTATAGAGTTGTTTCTGTGTGTTTGCTCTGTGTTCTTCAATGTCTGATTAGGGGTGGTTAACATGGCATGAGTGTAGTACCGCATTGGATGCTTATGATAGTCACTGTTTCACCTGAGCAGATGCTTCCACAAAGACGGCAAGCTTCTAGAGACATTTCTGAGTGGCTTTTCTGGAGTCAGGTCATGTCTGGTCAGCCTTACTAGTTGTGTCATCATACTTGTATGAGAAAGCATTAGAAGTACTGATTTTGTTTCATAAAAGATATGACTTTTTTTAAAAAAAAAAATTAGTATGGAGGTAATTTATGACAGGTGTTTGGGGTATGCTTTTTTCTTTTTGCAACCAGTGTGGTTTAGGGTAATGGGGGTGAACCAGGGATGACCTCATAGCAGTGGTATTGTAATAGGAAGCTGATATTTCCTCCTCTTGTGTGGATGTGGCTGCTTGAATAGGCAGAGGACTAATTTGGAAGCTGTAAAGGAGTGGTGGACATGAATCCCTTGCAAGACATATGTTGAAATCTTAGGGCAAGGTGCTGGTCCTCTTCTGTTAGGAAAAAGAAAGGGAACCAGCGATACACTCATGTCCTCACCCACATCCCTGTTTTGCCCTTCTAAGGTCCTACTTGGTGTTTCTCTGGGGTCAGGACAGTGAATGGTGGTTGTGCACACTTGCTTCCATGAGTGTTAGACAGGAGTGCCAGGTTGTTGTGGAAAACCTGTGTCCTTTGCTTTGCTATGGATGCCTTGTTTTCTTCTTTGGGGATGCATTGCAAGTGTCACATTACATCTCATACCCCTATTTTGAGATTTGGCTCCAGGCGGTTTCTGCCATAGCATCAACCTCTGCAGTTTCGTTCCAAGCCTGGTTTTGGTCAGGTTTTCTCTTTTTGATTCCTTATCGGATGGGAAGTGGTTGTCCTTTTAGACATAGCTGATGACTGTATTTCTTTCTTTGACTTGCACAGGAGTCTGTTGCTTCCACTTCTTTCAGAGGACAATAGACAGTGGTGTATTACATTCCATTTTATTTGGATTTCTAATGTGCTGATGTGCAGGTCTGATTGAGTGTGTACCAGAATAGATGTGTCTCTGTATTTGCTGCCAGTCTTTGAGATGCAAGTTCATTGGGGGAGTTTACAAGATTAGCTCAGTGTAGTTGAGAATGTCTCATTTTTATGCCTGTTCACTTGCATTTGTCTTTTCTAAGAGCAAAAAATATCTTGCTGTCTCAAGTTTGCTATATGGTCAACTCTGTACAGTTCCTTGGACTGAAGCTATAGTATGGTGTCTCCAGAATAAGTGTACAGACAAGGAGTGCTGAGATGCAAGGCATAACAGAAGTGATTTAGGATGATGTTGAGGACAGTTCTAGTACAATTTCTGTGGGCTGTCCTTTTCCATTTCAATATTAGCACTGGAAATGTGAGCTTAGAGTATGTTTGTTGTGTTTTTTGTCTTAGGACTTGTGGATCTTTATCTGCCAGACACTTTCCTCTTCAACTCTATCCTCTGTGCTATCTTGCAAATGAGCACAATAGTCCTAAAACTGATTTTCATGTCAGTGGCATCATGAAGTGATGCTTACTGTGCAGCACTGGATAGCAAGGTCTACATGCAAGTTAGAACATGACAAGCAATAATTCCTTCAAAAGGGAGCTGGGTCTGCTATATTGAACAAATACAGAAACTGCAACAAGGGAAGAGTTTGCATCCATGGGAAGGAGCTGCAATAGGCATGGCATGGCATAAGACTGTTACAGGTTTGACTAACTTGGCTAAGAAGCTATAAAGTGAGATGCATCATTAAGGAAAAGGGGTTAGCTATCCAGAGGGCTTCTCTTAGGCGTAAAGAGAACTTGATCAAGGGAGTTGCATAACCTTCAGAGGAATGTATGGGCAGCTTGGGAGCTCTCTGATTGCTCTTTGGCTGGCTGGCATAGAGGTGAGGCATCTTGCTTTGAGCAATTTTATTTTAGGGCTTCTGAGTGGCTAGTCAGTGAGGACACAGGCTTTGGACTTTTACAGAAATAAGTAAAATAATATCAGAAATCTGTTTAGGTTAACACAACACCTTCTTTGCTATTACATTTTAACAATGCATGTAGATGCATGTGCTTTCTAAAAATAAAATTTTATATATATATATATTCTAAGTCCATTTAAGTTGCTGCTTGGTTATATTGAAAAATGAAAAAGTCATGCCTCTAATTGTTCTGTCCATATCTGCTTTTGGGTGTGCTTGGTATGTGAATATTGGCAGATTTCAGCTATATACTGAGATGGATGAAAGCTTACATTTTATTCTTAAGTATGGTTTATTTGAAAAATAGATATGCTTGACGTGTAACTGCCTTTAAAGTCTGCTTCCTTTGGGAATATTAAGTATTTTCTGTATCTTTCAATAGGAGGATGTATCTGGCTGGCTGGCACCAGGAGAAGGGTACACACCTGAACCAATGGAATTTCATCACCTAAATGAGATAGATATTAAGCTTCAAGTACTACTATCTGATGGGGATTTTTCTGTGATTTCCAGCCCTTGCTCAAAACCTCCAAGCCAAATTTATCAGGTATATTACAGAACAGAGCTTATGTTACAGATTTCTTATTTGAAGTGTGTGTTGAGACCTGATGTAAAAGAAAATACAGCATGTGTCTGTATTTGTATTCTGTGCATTTTTCTTTAGTTCTCAAAGTATGTGTGTTAAAGAATGAAATGAAATCTTTGTCTAAAGAAATCATACAGAAAAATAGTACATTGCTATTTTGAGTGGTGTATAATTAAAGGACTGTCCTGTTTCTAACATTTGTTGATTCCACGCTTTCAACAAGAAATTTCATATGCAGGAAGTGGTACTCAGATGTTTTTAACTGCATGAGGTCCTCAGTGGTTTTGTCAGCATAGTAACTCATTACCCATGATAATTCATCTTTGCGAATTAGAATTAGGTTTCTTGTTATCTTAGGATTCCAAAAGTGTCTCTTCATTTATGATCTGAAAGATAAAGCAATTACCAATAAGCAATGATAAAGACTGTAGAAAACCAATTGAAATTGTATGTCCCTTGTTTTTAAAGGCCATTGTCTTTTTCCCTTGCCATCAGTATTAAGAAACTTGGGGTTCTCAACTTGAGAAGTAATTGTTTGAATTTTGTACCTAGAAGACTCCAATTTATCCCATGCCCTAGTAAAGTTGCCCCTGATATAATGGGGGAAATACACCATAAAATGCCATAACTCCTATTTTACGCTCATTTGCACAAAACTTGTTTACTTCTGTAAAATTTACAGTTTATAGCCAGAACAGGTATATTAGAAGCTCAGTATGAGTGCACATTGGCAAAACTATGTTTTCAGTTACCAGTGTATGAGAAACATCTCTGAATGGTAAAGTAACTGTGGGATTTTTTTTCTTTTTCTAGAGAGCACTTAATGTCATCTTTTGCATTGACTTATTTCTGTACTTCAGGTTTACCAGCTGGGATTTAATGTGTGAAGCAGCGACTCCCTCTAGTGGGTAATCACATATGCAAATGCAGTTGTTACCCAGGAACTTCAGGTTCACAGACCTGAGCTTGCCAATGATTGCTGGATCTTGTGTTCACTGTTAGCAGACATCAGCCTGAAGTTAGTGTGACTGCCTATGATAATGAACGCTCTGTTTGGGAAAGTTTGTTCAAGTGTTTGTTGTTGTTTCCTTTTCAGGTAAAAGCTCGGAAGTATTTGAACCAAAACTTGTGTTTATGTGTGTGCTTATTGAAGAGTAATGCATTATCTTTTTGAATAACATTAAACTTTACAACAAAAAGAGCTAGTTAATTACATAAATTACCCTTCATTAGTGAAAAGAAACCACCCTTCAACTTTATTTTGCAGAATATAGCAGGTTTTTAGACATTGTAGTTCCAGGAAACGCAGGATTCCATTTGTCATTTTTTGTTTTCTTCAGATAAACACGTGAGTCATTTCAATCAAAGCTACCAAAGCACGGGTCTATTTAAAGGTGGTTTTATAAATTTAGAGAAAGAGCTAAACAGAATAAACGTAAGTTGAAGTGAGTAGGAGGCTTTAGTTATTTAAAACGGGACTTAGAAGGACATTAATTGCGTAAATCCAATAACTAATTAAACCCCCCCCACACAACAAAACAAACAACAGAAGCACACCATCCCCCTCTGCAGCTAGCTAATTGCAGAAGTGTTTTGATTTCCAGGTGCCTACCCTATTGACTCCACAATCCCCTAGGTGCTTTCATTCCCACTTCTCTGCGTGTCCAGAGCTGCTGCTCTCAGCAGAGGACAGGATGTCTGGTGGCTGCCTTAGTTGCGTTTTGATCCAGACTTTAGGGAAGTCAATGTTAAGTTCTTCATGAAGCCTGATTTGGTAGGTGCAATCTGGTTGTATCTGGCACTGTGACATGACTGGGCTTGTTTATATTTACATAGAATTTCAAAATTGCCATTTTTTTTTTATGGTAAGTGGAAGAGAAAATAGTTGTCTCAACTTTCAGGAACTTGACTGCTTACTGTGGAAGCTTTGTACCAGGTCTAGCCTTTAGTCTTATGTTTGTGGTTATGGTTATTTTTATTTTGGTAGGTAAATAATCACTCTTCAATTCATACAGAAAGCAATAACAACAGGTCAAGTTCTGAATTTGGTTATGCGAGTTCATTCTCAACACCTTTTGTTTTCAGATTCCTTTAACAGTTGCTTTTTTAAAAAAAGAAATGGGAAGTAACATGCAGCAGTAGCTGAGAAATTTGTGACAAATTTGTTCTAAGTTCATTGCTGCTCATGGTCTTTTTAAAACAGCCTTGTTTATCATGATCAATATCCCCTGATATTGTTACAAACTGGAAGTTTTAATGTCTGGTTTGTCTGATTATTATTCTTGAAGCATCAGTTCTGATATCAGAAAATAGGTGGGTCACACAGCAATATCAGAATTCTTTGTACTGAAGGTCTTTTGGAACCTGATCAAAGGCAAATGATACCTACCCAGAAAGGGTCTGACGGAATTAATTGAATGAAGCTTTTGCTAAAAGAAGAGACAAAATGTTTGTTGGTGAGACTGGGCATCTGTAGTATTTGAAACCGATAGTGACAATCTGGTATTGTTGAAGTCAGATAAGTTTTTATTGATTTCTTTTATCCAGAGTTTCAGCTTAGATTGTATCACTACTCCCATAACTGAGGTCAATTCTGTAAACTTAATTGCTAGATAAAGATGTTGAAACAGATGTGATGGAATGCAAGTTTGAATGCACTGCAATATTTGTTTCTTAGGAGTTTGGGTTTTTAAAGTTTCTGGGTTTTTTTGGTTTTTTGGTGTGGTGTTTTGGTTTGGTTTTTTGTTTGTTTGTTTGTTTGTTTTTTTCAATTAAAGTGCCAGGAGAGGACTAAAAAAAATACAGAATTTATTTTGAATGAGTCTACTTGTTACAGGACATAAGTCTGATTTGGAACATGGATGTCTTTTCCTTTGGAGAAGAGGCTGACTTGTCTTTCTTCTAAAAACCAGTGCTGAAATTCTTTCTGATTTCCATGAGATGTGGATTTCATATGTTGTGGTTGAGTAGGGTATAATGCATTAGTGATGGGGAACAATGGGAAAAATTGTTAGCATGTAAATCATCTGTGTGAATTTTCATTTAGAACTTTGGAAGTAATTAAAACAAAATTAGCTTAGAGTTGCATATCATAAAGCTGCACATTCTTTTCTTCCAAGAATTGCATTAGATATAACTTTCAAAATGCAAGCACTTAATCACCACTGGCTCAATGGGAGAGCTGCTTTCTGCCACTGGTAGATATTTTGGCAGGATATAGGATCTATGCTCTGACTCTGAAATCTAACAACTGGCTTTAATTACCCTACAGTACCATAGCTGAGCTGTTACAGAGGAGCATACAGATTCATCTTTTGTGCAATGAGTCCAGCTGGATACAGAATGCTTTTCCATGAGTAATTTTCTCTTTTACATGGAAAACTTTCCCATCAGAACTGTATTTCTCTCTGAAACATTTCTTTGTTCTGGTGCCGGCATAAGTATTTAAAAATGCTTCTGTCTTACTTAATATTTTGGGGGAAGAACAAATAAGTTGAACGTAACCCTGGAAGAGACAGGAAAATGGTAGGATGAAGGATATGAAGTGTAACTACCTGAAAATAAAAGGAAATGGAGACAGTATAGACTACAGTTAATAGTTTAAAACTAACTAAATATTCAAGATGATAAATTCTGAAGATACATTAATGTTTCAATTAATGAACTTTTTGATAGCCTATAAGGTATGCCTGCACTTCACCAAACCAGATTATTTTGACAGGTATCTCTATTTCAGGACATGGTTAGAAGCAGGCTAATAAGTTGATCAGCCAGTTTTGTGGCTCAAAAAGATTTTATGACATTAATTGCTTTCATTAGGTGGGATTGTGTTTTTATTTATTTATAAAATTCTGGAGAAAAGGGAGTGCAACAAACAATTTTAGGCATTTCGAATATTGAATATTTCTGTTTTGCATTATGATTGTTAAAGCTTTGGGTATTGCTAAGTACTTATATCTTCCCTTGTGTAACATCTAGCAATTTTATTTTCTACCTTATCTTTAAGGTTTTTAGATCTTTATTAATCTCAGATGGACTTCCACTACCTACACATGCGATATGTAATTGAAACATAAAATATTTTATTTGATATAAAACTTCTTACATTTATTTAATGATATCTTGAGACAAGCATTAAAAAAATTAGGAAGTGGGGGAAAGTATTAATTCTGCTCCTATGGTGCGAGTTCCAGTCAGTTACTATTCAAAGATGAGAGATGAGACTGTAAGAACTACTTCTGGGAAAGCAGCAGCTTAATGCTCCATATTGGTCAGATCAAATAGATTATTAGGAACAATTATGAAAGGAATACAGAATGAAACAGAAAATATCACTGTGCTGCTGTACACATCTGCACATGTAGTGCACTGTATAGCTTGACTATTGTGCAGTTTTGGTCCCCGGCTCTCGTAACCAGTACAGAAAAAATGGAAAATTGGTTACTATGAATGCTCAAAAGCACAGAATGGCTTCTATGCAAGGAGTGACTTACACAGAGACATTCTTCAGTTTAGAATAAAGGAGTAAGAGGGAATGTGATAGAAGTGTGGAAAATCATGCTGATCAGAGAAGAGAGTAAATAGTAACGATTTTTTTTGCCCATCTCATCTAAATAGAATTATATCAGTTGTGGATGTTGATATTGGAGAAATGTTGAAACAAGTACTTTTTACTTCTGCTTTCTGGTAAATGTTCATAGTTCAATTTTTATCCAGCACACTCTGATAAGAATTGGTTAGGTATCATGGTAGAGATCAAAGTTGTCATGTCTATGCCAGTTAAGAATTTCTTTTGATGGAACAGTATTGTCTTACTAGGGAAGCAACCAGGCTTAAAATCATACTGAGTGTGATAAAAAGAAAAATAACTTATGATACATAGTTTTCCTGGAGTTTGAAGAGGTTGCTCTTAAGTGCTTGCAGCAGCTGAGCTGTCTGTAAAATGAAACATGTATGCCTGAAACTATTTGAAAGACTAGGACGGAGATCTGCATAAAGCTTTGCTTCAGAAATGTCTGTGGAGAAGAAAGTAAAAAAAAAAATAAAAAATTGAAGGTAGTAACTTTTTTGATTTTATGACTTCTCTTACTGTCACCTTTTTAAATCTGGCTGGTATTGCAGCAATAATAGTGTCAGAGATGCTGTTTGCAGTTTGGGCTCTGTTCTTCATTGAAGGCCAAGTTCATATATAAATATCAACCAGTAGTCCATGCATACAACTTCCAAAATAAAATAATGGGAAGTATTATATAGTATTTAGTGACTTCTCGGTACCACTAGTTGCATATTCTTATACGTGTATTCATAACATGGCTTTTAAACCAAATCATAACTGCAGCTCCAAATCCATGCCAACCACTCACTGCTCACGTGGCAATGTGTCTATATATGCACAGATCAAAATATTGGATTAAGAAATGTAATTGTAGAAAAAACTATACTTTTTTTTTAAAGGAAAAGAAATATGATGCCATCATCTTCCTCCCTGCCTTTCCGCGAGCAATTTCACTTGTATTAAAATCAGTGGAAGAATAAAGCCATGTAAAAGCCATTAGTAGAGGGAGCTTCAGTTGTTGCACTTTGAGCCGCTTTGCCAACTCTATATTTATATTGCAGATATAAAGGTCATATTTGTTTTATGTATTAATAAACACAAGTTTAAATACGTCTTTTGGGTTTTTATGTTCTGTATAGATGTCAGTCATGCAAATTTCTTGCCATTGGGCATCATAATTTAATTAAAAAATATCTCTCTCTATATATAAGCCTAGCTTTAGACATTCAATATTAAGAATTTGGCCTTAGGTGGCCAACATTAAACTTCAGTCCAGTTTGGGGAGATTCTAGTTGTTAACAGATGGTGCTGTTTATACCTCTGTCTGTTATAAGAAAATTCACTAGCATTGTAGTACTGCCAACTATTGCTGATTGTAATTATATATTCAAAGATTTATACTGTGGTAAAATAAGCTTATTTTCAGGCAACTAATAGTTTGGTTTAAATGTCAGAACTCAGATTTGTTTGGTGTTTAGAAAAAGTTGCAGTTTTTTATATGTTGTAGTTGAGAAATTTTCTGTTGCATGTTAAATTGCAAAGGTTGTTTTTCTTCCCAATTAGACACACTACTTGCAATTCTTTTCCTTGTGTGTGTTTATTAAGATTGCTTGAGCTGCTTCTGAAAATAAGAATGAAGAGTATGTGTTTATTAAATGGTTGTTCATGTTCCTTTGGGCAGAATTGACTAACAGGGAGGTTTTTTGGTTGTTTTTTTTTCTTCTACCATTATTTGGATTTCTTGGGTTCTTCTGTAGGATCTCTGGTTTGTAAGAGAAAGCCCTGTTTTTTTCCAATTACAATGTAACTTTGCTGTTTTGCCAATACTTGCTGTTCTTAAGTAAGTATCTAAATTACATGTAATATTGAATCTTGAATGTGTTCAGGACTGGTACAAAATTTAGAATCTCATCCAAAGCTACTGAAGATGTGAGAATGTGTAACCCGAATCTTTAATAATGGTTGTGCATCTGACAGCTTGCAGAGAGAGGGTTATTTTTCATTTGCCATGATACCTAGTAAACAAAACCTACAGTCATTTCAGTTTAGTTCTGCCTTTCACTTCTGGCCTAATTCTGATCCCAGTATGGTTAATAGGAGCAAGCTTTGAACCCCTCATTCAGTCTCCCCAATTTCTCAGTGCATTTTTATTGTTGTAATAGAATTTAAGCATCAAAGTGTTAGCTCTGGAGACTAAGAAATTCCTTTTAAAATGCAAAGGAAAGAATTCTTATATTGAAGTAAGTCCAGCCTGATCAGCTATTGTATTTGAAAATGTGCATAATGAAAATTATGCATTTGCCACATTTGAAATTGACACATTATTCTAAACATTTCAGTGTTTTCCTGATAGGAATCAAAAGAACACTTGTCTGGCTTTTGAAGCAATATAAAGACATATGTTTAATTTCTGCCTATTCTTCCTTTTGTCAGGAGTCTCTGGTTTATGCAAACAGAAGCCTAAAAGCACTTCCAGGTGAAAAGGTTCTGCGAGACAATAAGGAGCAACGCGATCAACAGAATCGTCTGAAAGAAATAGATCATCAGCTGAAATCCCTAGAGACAAATCTTGTAAGTCTCCTATTTTTGACATATTTTTCCCCTCAATTTGAAAACTTTGGAGTTTATCATTCCATGTGTCTTAAAATAAAATCAAATTCTGCAACCTTATGTGAATTCCTGAAGGAATCCCCGAAGAAATACGCAAGCAAAAGTCTCAAATGATTTTTCTTGATCTGGGAAACATTTTTCAGTCATAATGCATGTTTCCCATTAACATAGTGTCTTTCAAAGTGAAAGAAATTCTTCTCCTTTCTTCCTCCCCAGAGGGGGATAGCATAAAGAATCATATATAAATATGTCCTAAAAGGATTTTTTTTTTATGGCTCATATAATTCAGTGTTCTTTGAAGGACCAGGACTGGTGAGAATGTTGTATACACTAAGTTATTGTGTAATTTAGTTTTGCTGAATTAATTTAGTGTATTTTTATAAATTAATTTTAATTCAATGCATGAATTTCATAGGTGCAGGGGCCTTTAAGGTAGGAGCATGTATAATGGTAGTAAAAAATCATTACTGTTTTAGAATAAGTACATCACATTGCATCCTTATTACTACCCAGGTAAAAGTGAGTAGGGAAAAGGAAATTTAAAACCCAAGAGGATCCTATTGTTAACAGAGTAGGCAGGTATTATGTTTATTTCCAAGTCATAGAGCCAGGACTGACAAACCAAAACTTATGTGCCTCTCTCAAGCAATGTATTACTATTCTCTTTCAGCGAGTATAATTTATTACATTACTCTCAAGTTACAATAAGGAAATTTAACTAAAAACTAGTGTCAGAGGAACCTCAAGGACTTCAGGAATCTTTTTACTCATTTTAAAACATACATTGTAAACATGCTGTTTGATCTGTACTTAAAGAGCTACAAAGCAGCCTATATAGAAGAGAATTAGGGAAAAAATATATAAATATAAAAAATATAAAAATATTCATTCAAAAGAATATTCCTAAGGTGATACAATTGTCACTTTTTTGGCCTGAAAGCCAATGTTGGTATTTGGTTTTATATTTGATTTCTCCTAGATCTTCTTAAGAGAACAGGAAGAAAATATCTCTTTTTTTCTAGGTGTGGTTTTGGGTTTTTTTTTTTGATAACTTTGTACAAATCTTTGAAAGTTTGCCTTGCTCAGGTAAAGTCAGGAATGAAACTGTTGAAGACTCAGAAGAACATTACTGCATTATTGAGCTGGCAGTAGTGGTTAAAACCTGGATATATATGCATATTTTTAAGATTTTAGCATCTTTGTTACTGTTCTGCTTTGAGATGAGAAAGCTCTTGTTTCTCTGTAGAATGTGCAATGTGGAGAAGACAAACTAGTACAGTAATGTATGAGAGACTGAGGTGACAGCTGGTGTGGGTAACCTGATGAAACTGGATTTTTACTAGGAAACCCCAAGTATTTTGGTAGATTAGCAAGAGGCATCAGTATACATAACTGACATAAGAGGTATGCCTTGAATATTTTACAGACCTGGCTGGACAAAGCCATAAGGCATTTGGTCTGATCTCATAGCTGACCCTGCTTTGAACAAGAGGTTGGACTAGAGACCTCCTGACACCCCACCTCCACAGTCTGATGATTTTTTGATTCTACAAGGAAAAGGATCAAGAATTTTTATGCATTTCTCAGGTGGTAACCTTATTATCACTACACTGAAGGAAAAAATAGTAGCTTTTCATGGTTGTGCATTGTAGAATATTTGTTTCTTGTGCGTAGCTAATTTTAGTGTTTTTCATGTAGTCATGAAAACATTAATATATGAGTTTGTTTGTGTCAGACCAAAAATCCTCATAGTGTACCTTTGGTTTGTGGAGATTTGTATTCAGCAGTAGATTTACCTTCTTCAGTAATTTGAGTTAGGACAAATACTGTTCCAGTTGTCTTTTATTGCCTTCAAAAAGGGATCTGCACTGTGGATCAAAAGCTTTGTGATTCAGATAGCAGCATAACTGTAGTGGTATGATCTTAATTACTGATAGCACTGTTGCTACAGTTGCAAAAACTGCAGCCACTCTCTACATATGCAGGGGTTATGCTGGCAGTGCTGGAACTACACAGCTAATATGATTAGACTTCTAGCAGGTTTAAAGCTAATTTGGATACAACCACATGCAGTCAAGGTCTTTCATTTTTTTTTTAAAAAAAAAGGCTAATTGACACATTCTTCCTGATGTCAGTTAATTTTATATACTTACGGCATATGGGAACAAAGACTGAAGTCTGAAAACATGGAGACAGCAATTGCTTTAGATTGGGTTCACTTGTGTGTGTGTGTGTGTGTGTGTGTGTGACTACAGTAAGGAAGCACATTCAGCTCTTACCTGTTCACAGTACCAAAACAATAGTAGAACTTCATTTTAATACACTGCTCATTTATGTTAGACAGTTAAAAGGTGAGAGGCAAATAACTGGAGGAATTCTGTGGAACTTCAGTATGCTGAATAGGTTAATGGGTAAACAGATAAAAAGTCTGCATCTTGTCATCTTTTCCTAGTCATTGACCTTCATATCACTTTTTGTCACTACTGACCTTGTTCATGAGGCAAACACAATCTGAGGAAATGCGTCTGGGAACTGTGTGATAGTCTACAGTGGGCCTGGGAAATGCAGTGGGTTGCTGACTCATTCAAATATTTTGTATATAAATGGGTCAGTTCCAAGTCTCGGTTGGGTTATAGCAGTATTGTTTGGTATCACATTACGTGCAGACTTGCAACATACCACACATTTTTCCGTGGCTAGATGGTATGTATTTAGCACTCTACATCAATAGACTGTTTACAGTCTTTATAAACAGTATTTATAGACATAGAATATGTCCTCTGTACCAATGTGTACCTCATGGCCAGTCTAGCATTGCTGTGTGCTATGCAGCACATGGTAAGGCTTCTTCAGTGGCACATACTGGGTCGTCTTATCCATTGCTGCTCTGTAGCATGACTCTGAGATCATGGCATATAGATATGAGATAATTATGTATTAGGTCCTCTGCGAGATGCTTTGGGTGCCAGTGTAAATAAAGAAGTATTCAACTCTGAATGAAAGTTTTTCCTTCTAACAGTAAAGTAAAATATATAGAAAATGTACACTTTTTTGTGTGAACAAACAACAGCTTTTTTTTTTAGTTTTGTGTCCTTGATACCTTCTAATCTTATATCTGGAAAATACAGTTATTACTAAAGAAGATTGGACAAAACAGCATGGTATCTCCTTCTGATGCAACATACGTAATTGAATAAAATTTTTCTTATTTGGTGTGGGAATATCTAAAAATCAGGCAACTCTTATGCAGTGTGAATTGGGTGCCTTGTTTCTATACCAAAGTAATATTTTGTCCATCAAATCTGGAACATTGTTAGCAGCAAAACTGCTCTCTGCTGGGAAACTGTGTGATGAAAAGCTAAACTGAATGCTTGGGTTGAGCGGGGAGGGAGGGAGTACATAGATGGTGTATTTCCAGAATAATTTAATTATTTCTGGAAATACTGTTTGTTATTCGATAGGTGGCACTCTTCACTGTATGTCAGAGGAAGAATGACTAGGAATGGTTCTAGGGGATATTATTGCCAGTGAAAGTGTTGTCATTTCTGTGGTATAAAATACAGGTTGGGAGAGATTGCTTCTAATTTTTGGCAAGACTCCAGGTGTGCAGCTTTTAATGTTCAGTTATTCTTCTAGCTTAGCTAATTAGATTGTATGTTTAAAATTCACAATACATCTAAATGTCTCCTTTACTCGTTCCTGAACCACTGTAATTTGCTGTGTAAAATTGGAAATAAATTCTCTGCTCTAAGTAGAGGAGGTGATTTGTTAGCAGTTAGGAATGTTCTTTCTGAATGTATGGCTATACTGGGCTTTATAATTTTAAAATATAGTATTTTACAAATTTAATGTCTGAGAGATGACTTTTTAAAATGTATTTTTAAAAAACCTCAGATAAAATCTGTTGTTTTGTTGTTTCTTTTGTTTGTCTGTTTTTGTTTCCTAGGTAGAAATTATGGATAGTTTAACTAAGCAGAATTTAGCTCTATGTGTTAGGGAATAATTTACAGTAGGTATAAAGGTAACTTTGTGAATTCTTTTTTTGTGTGTGTGTATGGTAGAATGCTGTATTTCTTCCACTACTGCAAAATGAATTATTAAAAGGGATTTGTATACTGGTAGCTTTACTCTGACCTTCTCTTCAAGGGGAAGGAATACATTCATCATATTTCTGGAGCAGGCTATTTGGTAGGTGCTGGCTTCTGAAATTTTAACATTTATGGATTTCTCCACTGCACCTTACATCATGTGTGCTGTGACACTTCATGATTTCAGCGAAGTCTGGGGCTGAGCACACAAAGCAAGGCTGGAAGATAAGAGTTTAAAGTACTTTACAATCGATACAAACCCCAGAAAATCTGCCAAGTTTTATGCTTGAAATAATGAAACTAAGGGCTTTGGAATCTGAGTTCCTCCTTTATTTTGAAAAAATTGTCCCCAGTGAATTAATATACCAAAGAATGTATTGTATGCATTGTTGAAATGCATTGTGAAATTTCAATCCAACTGAAATGTATCTGTACCCTGGTTTCTTGGGCCCTTGCTGAATTTCTTTTAGGTTTTAGTTTGACCTTAGTTCACTTGCTCTTCATTTGAAACCATGGCTGACTCTCTCCACATTCTTTCATCTTTCAGTTTCCTGGAAACCATTGAGCTTATCTTTGTTTTGTGAATTGTATTGTTAACTGCTGCTTCAAAAAAAATGTTCAGCTGCCAAATACGTGTTGCTGAGCATTAATGAAAAGAATTTTATATAGAAAGAATAATAAATGTAGTTATTTTTCAATTGTGGCTTCTACTAGTTGGCCATTTGTGATAATCCTGTAGCATGTGTGAGAATGTGTTGAATTTGTTCATGGCAGACAGTAGGTTTACATGCACATCCAAGCAAGCTGTCAAGTAAGATATTTTCACCTTTGGTGGCTATATGTGTGCTTATTTCAAATGTCTTGCGCTGGAAG